GTGCTGGAGAAGTGGCTAGAAATAGCTGGAGTGATGATCTCAGCAATGACCTGCCTGGGCTAGAGCTGCATGACCTCTAATGTTAACTAAGAGATGCACTCTTTACTGTCGGGAACAACTGAAAAGTGGAAAGGATATTGGCTTCCCTGGGTGGGCAAACTCTTCTTGACTTGTTTGTTCCTTGGATTTTCCACAAGTGGAAGCTGTAAGGTGTAGGACCAACCCATGGGGGGCAACTCCAGGAAGGGAAACAGCCATTTTGAGAAGTCATTTACAGACTGCCAGTCCCACACTCTGCCAGAGACCTGAGCTGTTTTTTGCCATCTCATACCCCCTTGCTCAGACCTGCCCCTTCTACCCTTTCAACATCACGCTGCGTGTTCTGCTCTTTCTCTGCAGGAGACAGACACTGGTGCAGGGCCTGATTGGTGTTTTGTCATCCAGATTTGGCAGCAACCAGCTGGCTTGCAGAGGAAGAGATGCTGTGGTGCTTGGCTGCAGTGGGGATTCCTCCAAGGTCAGAGAATTCCTAGCTGCAGTCCTCTGTTTCAGCCCTCTCCCATGGGATGGGATATATGATCCTGTCCTTTGAGCTCTCACTTGGTGGACCAGAACAAATTGAGAGAATTTGGTGTGCTTTCTCTACTAATGCTTTCAAATATTTAGATTTTTCTCCCAGCTATACTGTAAGTTTTGAGTTGTGTTGGATTGTGCTTACACTGTTGACTATCTAAAGCTCCGGGGTGTAGAGCTGAGCTTGGATTGTTCCTTTTAGGGAGACTAAGCACAGTAAGAACAGAACAGATATAGAATGACCATAGATTTACCCTGTCAAGACCCAATCTGGAGCAGCTGACTTGACAAGTGCTGGTAAATTGCTTCCTCTTGTGTGGCACAAAACAGGTGGAGAAATCTTGTTATTTGAACAGAAAATTCCATGACGCTCATAAAGGCGAGGTTGCTGGCTTGTTTTATGAGAATAGAGTGCCACAGTGGCAGAAAAGGGCCCTGTAAAATTTCCTTATGTGGTTTGACTTTTTTTATTCCATTTCCCTCTGAGATAACTAAATTTTATAATTGCTGCCTGTTGAAGGAGAAGGGAAGAGGTGAATGAATGACACCAGCTTAGGCTCTGTAAAATAAAGGGAGCTCTTTTCCCAGTGCTTCTCTAAACCCTTTGTGAAAAAAGGTTCCCTTTCTGCTAGACAGCCACAAATAGTTTTGTCCACAGTTGCCTTCTACCTAAAAATATTGAGATCCTTTTGAAAAAGTGGGCAAAATTTCTCATCCTGCCCTTAAGATTATCAGAAGGGAAATTGAAGCAATGATCATGTTAGCTGTGTTTATCTGCCTGTGTGATCAGAAGGCATAGCCAGGACTAGCACAAAGGAATATTTTGCTAATTCTGCAGCTGTCCCTAATAAAACTCTTCTCAGTTAGAATCAAATGAGTGTCAAAATCTGGCTGAAAGTCATGTTCAAGAACCCATGAATCTTGTCTTGTTCCAAGCAGAACCTATAATTCAGCATTGAAGGTTTCAGGAGTCTGGACACAACAGCAAATTTTTAAGAAAATACTGAACAGGGCTGACTGATCATCCCTCCTCCTACTGGTCCCAAGAAAGACCAGTGAAAGGAAACACTCTAATGCTTGTGAGAGTCATCCTGTGGCAATTGATGTGTACTTCTGAAAGAGAGAGGATTAAAATGGGAGGAGAGAAGTTACCCTGCGGGAGATTGTCAACAGATGTTGCATTGTAGTTCAAAGAGAGCTAGCAAAAGGCTTCTGCTCCAGGGATATATTAATTCTGGGCAGTTCATCACAGGGAGACCTGTTTTATTACTGGGAGGATACCTCTGGTAACTTACTTACCTCTTTATTTGAACTGTGGGTGGAGAATCTGGTCTACCTGTAAACAGAGAGGGAGCTGAACAGTAGGAACAAACATGTACTTGTTTTCTTGCAGCTGTGACCACTGTCATTCTGATCAAGATCAAGCTGGTTTTGTGATTCGGGGGTTATTTGATGGATCACTGAATAGAAAAAATATTACAGAGGAACTGAGGCTAACCCTTGTTAAACTGCTGGGGCATGTGAAGCAGACCTGTGTTGAGTACATCTCTCAAGTACACTTATTGGACAAGAAGTGGGAGCAAGCACAAGGAAGACTGTGCAGGCTGTCAAGCAAATGAATGAATTGATCCCTTTGTATTTAAAATGCACAAGATTATCAACCTATCTATGCATCCTTCATGTAGCAGTTAATGATTTTTTTATAAAATCTTACCAACATTGCAGAATTAACTATGGTGGGGGACCTAGTTCACAGGCTCTCTATCAACAGACATAATAAGAAGGTCCTCTTCTGGGAGCTTCTAAGTGCTTTATCTTCTGACATTGTTTTGAAGTTGTGTTCTGGATGAAGGTTGATTTTTTTTCAGATCTGTGAGGAAACATGACCCCTGTAACATTAAAGTGAGGAAGAGTCTTCTTTCAAATGTGTTTGGATGGGGAAGTTTGAAGCCCATTGTTATGTTACAAAGTTCTGGGAGATTAAAACAAACCAAACCACAAATGATTTTGGGAAACTGCTGGGAGACTTTTATATTTGCAGTCATTGTCTTCCAGCTTTGCTTGTCACTTCAGTGTGTATCAGTAGGACTGAAAATTTGGCTGTTTTGTGGACAGTAAGTACATGGTTTCTTTTTTTCTTTGTGGAGGATGGAAAGGAATGATGGAAATAAGATTCCTGTCTCACTTCTGCTGTGCAGTGAAGCAGAGGTAGCCACTACATGAACATCACAGGCAGAGGCTCAGGAGCTACACTTAGAAAAACTGTCCCCCTCCCTCCACAACAAATCCACATTTATATTGATTTTATGTAGTTATAGAAAATTAAGTATAAATAATGTGGAGGTATGCAGCCTCCTGTTTCCTTCACAGGTGTCTGGGAAATTACAGTGGGCATTTCTGTTCTCCCCTGGGTATAACAAGAACACTGGCTAGTAAAATCATCCAGGTTCTGCATCGCTTCATAGCTTTCATTACTGAAAATTTACTGCTCTGCATCCCTGGCTTGCTACTGGATCAGTGGAATGCCTTTTTCATTCTGCTTTAAGTGGTAGAAAGCACAGGAGACTATTATCCATGGGAAATCCTTATGGGATGACTGGTCTTACAAGACCCACACACTGACCTGTCCACTCCAGTACTCCTCGTGGTAGTTTCTCTGCCTCTGAACACCCTCTGTAGCCTTATTTACAGACTTGCAGTGTGTGACATGATGGTTAAATACAGTATCTAAAGCTAAAATACAAGCACTGAGATATGAAGGACTACTAAGTGGGCAGAGAAATGGAATGAAGCACAGGTAGCCCTGCCCATAGCACAGCAGCTCTAGGACTGTAATTTTTCAGCTTCCCAAATCCCCTTCCCTTCAAAACATGAGTCTGGAGAGAGGAGGAGGGAAGGGCAGAGGAAGCAGATGGGTCTCAAACTCTGTTTTTCTTTTACCTGTGTTTTTTTCCTTTCTATTTAACTTTAAGCCCAAGGGATTCGGTTGATTCTTGGTCCCTTGCTATCTAGTAACATAATCATGCTTTAGCCTAAGAGACATTAAAACTAAACCCCATCAGAGGCAACAGCTATGTTCAAGGAGAAATGCAGAAGTTGGCAGCAGCTGGTTTCTGGTTCTGTCAGTTCTCTTTGCTGCACAAGAAAGGTGAAGCCCACACAACTGGCCCATGGTCCCACCTCAGAGGCTGCATCATCTGGCTGGAAGGTCAGAATTCGGCTGGGCAAAGGCACAAAGCTTGTGTGTCCCAGGGGTGGCTGCCTGCACAAGCCTGTCCTGCTGCTGCCTCTCCAGCTAACACAGCCCTGCTCCGAGCTACCTCTCCAACAAGGCAGCTGAGCAGTTTGTTCTGCAGATAATGAATCAGCTCTGAGTGGGTATGGTAGTAAAAAGGCAGAACAGAGAACACTCCAATATAAACCACCAGAATAATGCTGACTTTAGACCTGAGAAGACTGGCTTAGTTGTGGCATGTTTGTTCTGTTTTGTATGGTTGTGTGTTGGGACAGAACTGAAATCTCTGAGGGGTTTAGAGTTCACCCTCATGTCTTCAGATTACTCAGCAAGCACTTTACTTGGCTACAAAGTCTTTGTTTGTTCTCCCCTTCCTCTAGATCTTCCAAGGATTTGCTTTTCTAGATTTGTTGTGGGAACTCTTTAGAAAACAGCATAAGCCAAATTACCAAGTAATTTTGCTTTTTCAAGAGAAAATCTTTAATACAAGAAATCTATGACATGAGCTGACTGATTTTGCCAAAGTATTTTAACAGCTAGGAGAGACTCTTAGCTCAGGAGAGTCTCTTACCAGGTCTGTAGCAGAAGCTGGGCTTTTGAGCACTTACCTCCCTGCAGGTCTGAGCTCTGAAGGGAAGAGTTCAAAACAGCTATAAAACTAAAAAAAAAAAGAAGTATATGCCTTTCAGTTTGCTTTATCTGCTGTACTATAGAAAGAAGCATAACAGATGATGCTTTGTAGGTTTGGATTAGGCTGGCTTTCAGGAAATTTCTGTAAATAAGGTTTGGGGTTACAGCTGACAACATGAGAAAATCTTCAGAGGCAAAAGAAGGGAATCTAAAGGTGTAGATTAGATTTTTTGGTCTAGTGTGTTTCTCTAAGACAGATTTCATCTGATTTAACTGTACACAAATTAATCTTGGTTGACCCAGACCAGGAATGACCCTGACAAGAAGGAACACAGGCAGGGGGTGGTGTCCTTCTGAACTGTCAGAGCTATGGTTCATAGCTGTTTGGCATTTCTTAGTTATCATCTCTGTGACTCTTTGTGCCCCAAACTGCTGCTGTTTATCTATCACAAGATTCATTGTGATATATAAAAGCTTTTCAGTTAGATGTTTGCAATGAAAATATGAGGACTGTGACACTTTTGGCATTTGTAACTTTATTGCAGAAAAAAAAAATCCACTATCAACATATTTTACAAACAAAGTTGCACTTTGGTGTTGGGCGAGTTTTCCTCCTCATCCCTTTCCCCTGGACAGTGATGCATGGGAAACCAGAACAACCAGCCCCTGCCCTTTTGATTGTGTGCAGACACACTTCCCAGATATGCCAGCCTGCACCAGTTCCAGCCAGGATGGAGTTCTGTTTTCCACCACTAACTTGCCAACTTTGTGCCGAAAACCAGTAGCACCCTGCCCTCCGGCAGGGGAAACAAGTCTGTAGCTAGGGAGATTGCTCTGTGCAGACAAGGCTTGATACAAAAGCTTTGGAGTTGTGACAATTGCTCTTTAGTTCTCATGCAATCACAGGAGAGAACCAGCCCTCCTCCCTATTTTACTGGGCATCAATGCACAGATGGAAGGCCAAAGCCAACAGCAGAACTTCTGCTTCCAGCCACTCTGGAAGCAGCAACACAGGGAAGAGGAACTGTTCCCATATCCAGTTCATCTATTTGGCCCAAACTGGTTCTGCTCTACCTCTGGGGTTTCCAGGTAAATTGAGCTCAGCTGATGGGGAAATTCCCTCTTCCCTGCTACAACAACCAGTAACAGCACTGGGAAAAAAAGGGTTCTTTTGCAAGTGAGGTCTGGTACCTGTCCTTTGTGGGGTTCAGTGATGCTGATACTGAAAGGAGAGGAGAAACTGAGGCTTGTAAGAGCAATGTGGCAGATAAACTCTAGCCCTTGCTGTATCCTGAGGGAGCAACTGGGTTAGTCAAAAATCAAACACTCTAGAGAAGGCATGTGTTTCCATTTACCTGCAGTCAAATGTGAGTTAGAAAAGAGGAGCAGGTGTAATGTAATGACATGAAGACTCTCATGTCACACACACTCTGGTCTTTCTGAGGCAAGGGCACCAAAAGATCCTCTGATTTACACTCAGAGGTTCTGGTCTATGGGTTTCCTTGAGAGACCTCAAGAGCCTTGGATGCAGTCTACAGCAGTGATATTTTGAGGCAAAAGTGCAGGATCTAATCAGCATAACACCAAGAAAGGGAAGGCACCTACATCCAGGATCTGTCCTCATGACAAGACACCAACTGGCTCAAAAGACCAACATCAGAAAGTAGAGGAGCTTTGACTTTGCATAGCACAGGAGGGAGAGCAAAGTACCAGTTTTGTACAACTTCCAGCAACCAGATGCTAGAAGCAAAATGGGAGGTACCTGAGGAAAGGCTTGTGTTAGCCCAGGCAGGGAAATGGACTAAAGCATTTATTGAGCCTGGAAAAAGGAGTTTACACATATGCCAAAAGCATCAAGTGTAGGAGACATGTTTTCCTACTTTTGGAGAGACCAAATTAGCGTGTCTAATTGGCAATAAACTGAGTCCTATCAAGCTCGGTTAAGCTAACATTATGTTCATTTTCCTCCCAGCAACTTCAAAGCAACATCAAGTAGCAGGGGCACTTCTCCAGTGGCCACAAAACTGTTTTCCCTGGTTAAAGAGAAAAGGTATACGTCTAGGAAGGAAGCAGAGTAGTCTTTTATCCTGGTAGGTGTTTCAGGACAGGTAATGCAAATCCTGGGACTAAAGCTGAAATAGGAACAAAAAAAGTGCAAGAAAACCCCCAAAACAAATAACCTTAAAAATACAGATCAAGAGGGAGCCCAAGAGAACTGATTTCCACATCCTTGGCTTCCTCAGAAAACAGCAGTCTCCTTTGCTGGTACTGTGCTGAAGGCAGCAGCCACCAAGAGGAACAGAAGAGATCCATGCACAACATCATGGCAAAGGTTGTCTTGGCTAATTGGTTGCCACACTAAAAGGAGGAGACACCTTTTCAAGGCATTGTTTCGAGGAAAGCCTGGAGAAAGGGGTCAGACTTGGGCTCTGATTCGCAGCATAAGAACTTCAACACTGAACTATTTAAAACGTCTAAAACCAAAAACCATCTGAAAAGGATCTTTCAGTTGTGTGCAAATCACAGCCCCTCATTGCTCAGGAGATCGTCTGGGACCAAGTCCTCAAGGCCTTTTCCTCTGGGCAGTGGACAGCCTGGTTGCCTAGTAGCTGTAGAGGGAGAGAGGGGTGTCCTCCATCATGTCATCCTAGAAGCAGAGAAGAGGGTGCTTTAATGAGATGTCTGCACGATGGCATCATGGTCCCAGCCTGGGAGACTGCTGTGCAGGCAGCACAACCTTCTCAGCCACGGTGTGGCCATCTGCCCAGCCATCCACCTAAATGCTGCCACTGTGCAGTTCCTGGATCTCAGAATTGTCAGTCTCCCTCCTGCTGCAGCATTTGGAGAGAAGAGGTGTGTGCAGGAACTGCCTGGCTGCTGCAGGGATGTGGAAAACTCTGGCTGTTGAAAACTCCACTCAGCTTGAAACAGCACCAGCTTGCTTGCTAGCTGTGGTACTCCTCTATCCCAAAACGTTCAGGGAGTTATTTGCAGCTTCCCCAGAGCTAGTCCAGCCTCATAGATTTTTGTATTCCCAAAGGATCAAACACAGACAGACAGACAAACAGTCAACCTCCCTGAAACAGAGCATAAAATCTGCTTTGTCATAGTTACAAAGCAAATATATCAGAAAACAGGAGGAGAGGTTAGGAAGGTGTCATTTCAGGACAAGCCTGGATGGAGCTCTCCTTCCTCTCTCTAACCTCTCAGCATTCCCCTGCAGAGTGAGGGGAAGGCAGAGAGCTTCTTTAGTACCCAGCCTTGAGACTTGCTGTCTTGATTCAAACCTTGGATGGAAGGAGAGGGACCTAAGGAGGAACAGGAGTGTGTGATCAGCATTGGTGCTGCTGCAAATACCCAAAGCATTGCTAATGTAGTAGAGGGAGAACTGCAAAGCAGCCAGTGGCAAGCCAGCCCACATCAGGCTGGGCTGGAGGCACGACTCACCATGGGCAGGTCCTGCAGGCGCCGGAACTCCATGCGGTTGTTGTGCTGGCGGTATCGCAGGAAGCCCACCAGGCCCAGGATGCCCACCATGACAATGAAGACAGAGATCACAGTGATTACCAAGGGATCAGCCCTCGTTTTACCAGCCAAATTGGGTAGCTCTGCAAGGAGAACCAAGGGAATGAGACCAAAGGAGAGCCTTCAAGAGCTGGAACAGCAAAGCTTTGTCTTTTCTGGTTGTCCTCAGTACAACCAAGAGGCAATTTGAGGTAGCTCCAGCCCTTTGCCATGTTTTGTGAGAACAGCTACAAAACAATTACAGAAACTATTCGGCTGGAAAAGATCTCTGTGATTATCAGTCCAATGTATAACTTAACACCACCTTGTCAACTAGACCATGGCATTGAGTACCATGTCCAGTCTTTCCTTAAACACCTCCAGGGACGGTGACCCCACCATCTCCCTGGGCAGCCCTTTAAAAGCAGAGAATTTACCTGAGTTGTCATCATCACCAACATCCAACACAGAAGTCTTCTCATGCCTGTGCTCCAGTGACTGTGCCAGCGTAGGTGTGCTGGTGGGGATGGCAGCTGTGCTGGCAGAGGTGGAGTTGGTCACGAGGGGTGTCACTGGCACAGTCCTGGAGGCAGTAGCAATGGACATGCTCCCTACAATGGAGAAGGGAGCAGAGGACGTTCTGGGCCCCACAGTGCTCTCCTCTGTGGCACCCACGGGGCTCGTTGCTGGCTTGGTTTCAGACCTTGCTTCTGTGGGCCCCAGGGTTTGCCCGTCAAAAAGCCCTGACTGAGAGCTGTTAGTTGATGCTGCAAAATAGGAACAAGAAGTTACTTCAAAGTATCCAGTGCAAACACACTGTTCTGTGGGACTGGGCAAGATGGAAGCAAGACTGTAAGGAAGATTGCTGGGACTATTGGAATAGCAGCTTATTGTAAATCCTTTGGAAAACAAGCAGAACCTTTAGCACAGCCACAGCTGAGTCACACTATAACTCACAGTGCTTAGAAAGTCCTCTCAATTTTCATATGTGCCAATCTGCAGTGTCAGCCAACCTCAGCTGGGCTCACAAGGCCTGTCCTTGGGGACAAAGGGCAAGCAGACAAGCTTAAACAACTCTGCACAGAGCTGGGGATCACCCCAGAGCAAGACACTGGGAAAGGCCTCTCATCCCTCCTTACAGGGAGCACAAAGGGGGCTGCCCAGGGACTGGGTAACAGAATCCCCTGAGGCTGTGTCAGTGTGTTGCAGAACAGCAGGACAAACGAGGGAATACAATGCAGTTGTGCATGTACACCATGCAAATCAGTGATCTATCAGTATCTGCCTTCCATTGGAGGCGTGTGACAGCCTGGCGGGCCCCAAGATGAGCAAAATTGGGATTGAAGACCCTATAGCCAGTCCCCATGATGCCCAGAGGGATCTGAAGGAAGGGTAGGGTTCCCTGTGTTTGCACAGGAATGGATGAGCTGTCACTTGTGCTTGCCCATCTCCATGTTTTGTGTTAAGGGAGGGCATGCTTCTCCAGGGAGGCTCCCATTGAGCCCCCAGCCCTGATGCCAGAAAGGCCCAGCTGGGCAGTGCTGCTAAGCCATGTTGTTTCAGATTAGGTTTATGAAGGATGTCCCCACACACAATCAGTGTCCTGATCAGAAAGCAGCCAGCACTACTAATACCAAAATTAATGATGTTTGCAAAGAGGATGCTGAACCAACATCTCTGCAAATAAGTTGCACTGAATTGGCTCTGCTTAGTGTTTCATTCCCTTCTTCCCCCTCTCCCCAGTTACCAGGAAAGTGCTCAGACATTTCCAGGTTGTGCATCCTTGAGGCAGGACTTTGTACACAGGCAGAAAAGGCAAAACCTCACCAGGCACAGTGTTCAGAGGAGGCGTGGGGGTAGCACTGCTGGCATCATCTGGTTCTTCAGTTGTGCTGAAAGGCTCTGTGGCTTCATGGCTGGTCTGGTTTTTTTCCAGAGTGCTGGCAGTCAAGGTAGGGGAGGGGATTTCAGTGCTGCTGTTGACTGACAAGCTCATGTTGTCATGCTCAGGGTGTGTAACTGTGATGTCCCCAGGACGGGCAGTGGTAGAAGCCTGCAGTCTCTCTGGCTTGGAGCCTGCCATGAGGGTGGTGGGGATGAAGGCACCGTCCACCTCTGTAGCATGGGCACCAGTGGCGCTGAGTGTTGCAGCGGTCAAGTTTTTCTCCAGGCTTGTCTGAGGAATGGCAGTGATCACTGGACTGAAGTCAGAGGCTTCCCTTGGCTGATGCAAGGTTAGAGCTGTGCTAGGAAAAGGTGATGGTGACACCAAGGCCTCTGCTGTCTTCTGACCCTCTGCTATGGAACAGAGAAGTTTGTCAGAGATCCCACAGTGAGAGGAGAAACAGAGGGGAGGACAGAAAAGAAACTTCTTTATGCCCTTAATTCCAATTCCAGCACAGGCTGACACTTGGGAAAGGGATTCAAATAGCTCCTCTGTCCTCCTGGATTTTGAGGCAGAGACCTGTTCTAGGGGACTTTTCCTTTACCCTTCTCTCCCTCAAGTCCTGTTCTGTTGTTCTCTAGGGTCAGCACCACCAATCCCTCTATCCTTGAGCAACTTTTAAACTTTTTTAGAGGATCTGGGTTTGTTAAAAGTATCACCTGAGACCTGCTTCTGTAAGAAATTTAGGTAAGTCTTCTTTGGTTCATTGAGAGTCAAAAGTGGTGCTGAAAAAACACAAATGAGGAAAATGTGGGATTCTGCTGGAGAGAAAGGTGAAATGGGTAGCAAGAACACTACAGCTAACAGGGCTGGGGTGTGCTTTGAGACCTGCCTTTGTGAGCTATCTATGAAGACATTACCACCATGAAGTGAAACTGTTGTCATAGAAATGGGGAGTTACTCAGCCTCCCACTACACCAAAAAGTGGCAGCTTCCCTGAAAGGAACCTGCAGCAAGCAAGGATTCCCCCAGATCCACAGCTGCTAGACAGTGTGACAGCATACAGGAGAAAGAAAACCACAAAGCTTACACTGCCTGTTCATAAACACAGATCCTGTGAGGCTTTTTCAGGGTATAAACAGGAAGAAAACAGAGAAATGTAGCTGCATCAGGATGGACTCTTCAATTTAAAAACATCTCATAGTCAATATTTTGACAATTTCTGTTGAAGTTTCTATCCAAGCCACAGAGGACTGATGAGCTAATTACAGGAAAAAAAAATAAAGGTACTGAAGCAAATCCATCATCACGCCCCTTCTCTCCACAGCGAAGAAACATCCAAAGCAGATGCTATCAGTAAGAAACATTCATCTACCAGCAAAGCAGCCCATTCTTACACTGTTTTGGGGAAATTTCAGCAGTTTTTAAAAGCTCTTCAGAACAGATACAGTTATCAAAGCTCTTCTCCAGCTACAGCACTTAACAGGCCCTAAAAAAAGACACAATACGTTGCTCTCTCAAGACCTTTGCAGTACCCTGACCAGCTGGAGAATTCAAAACCCTGGAGCAGCCTGATGGAGCTGTGCTTCCCCGGCCCAGGGCCCCAGTCCCAGGAGGGCTCCCACAGCGATGCACAGCCCTGCTCGGCACATTCAGAGAACAAGTTCTCACAGGGAACTCCAGCTGGAGCAACTTAAACATGAAGACCAAAGGCCTAAGTGATGCTCCCTTTGGCATCGCCTGGATCCAGATGTGCATGGCCAGAAGATGCCTCCAAATAAAGCGAGCCACTCTGCCATGGAGCTCAGGTGTAGGATACACCAGTAACACCTGGAAGGAAAAGAGCTGAGGGCTGGGTTTCCTAGGACCAGGCACCAAAAGGCACAGCTCTTCATGTAACCATTTCCAGCCCTAAACGCAGCACTGCTATTCAGCACGGGGTGGGATCCCACCAGCTCCGGGTGCTGGCTGGGCACTGGCGGATGCTTGCTCAGTAAACACCCAACTACCTGCTCCCACACAGCCAGAGACACAGAGCCCTGCTGTCACCCTGGGGTAAACAGGAAAGGTGGTGGCCAGGTGCCCGGCCAGTGGCAAACCTGGCTATGTGCTGCTCTGAATAGCTGGCCTGTGCCCGAACAGCCTCTCATGGGGTGGCAAGTCATGACTTGAGTCACGCAGAAGAAAGATTTGTGGAGAGCTGTCTTGCAAAAAGGCCTGAGCAACTGTGAAACAGTTTCTGACTAGAAAAGTGATAGGAGAAATGGGTGCTAATGTCTTTACAAGCAGCTCGATGGGTGAGGGTCATTAGGAGAAATGGGTCTTAATGTCTCTACCAACCTCAAGCCGCAAAATTCGTTGCAGAACCCAGTTTGATTAGTTTGAATTCCTGAACATAAAGGTGATAGACAAATGGGACCGTGCAAAGTCTATTGCAGATCCCAGACAGTCTGAACTTCTGGCGGATGTGCAGAACCCAAATAGCCTGATCTTCTGAACTTTGGGGGGAAAATGGGTGATTTTGTGCACAAAAGGAAAGTCAGAACCCTACACGTCAGGACATCTCCCCGCATGCCGGGAACTGGCATCCCTGCCACGAGGTGCTGTGGGACAGAAAGGCTTGTGGGCACAAGCAGCTACCCCCACCCCGCTGCACGACCAGCTTCTTGCTGTCTGCAAAAGGGAGAGCTAATGGGACTGGCATTTCCCTAAACTCTTCTGATCACCCGGGGACAGGCAGACAAAAGATTCCCATCACCCATCTGTCAGCCCCTAAGGGGTAAGGGCCCATCCAAAGCCATCACATAGTCATCAAGCAAAGCTTGCCTGGGGAAATGACCCAGAGGTGCAACTTGTTCCTCGGGAGCTGTAGGTGTTAAAAGGTACAAGCCCTGAATTTTGCTTCAGTTTAGTTTAAAATAAAAACACTCCTCCAAAGGGCATTGCTGCAATGCCACAGCTTTGTTTGCCAGTTTTATCATCCATCCAAAAGGGCCACGCAAATGAAACCCGGGGCAAACCCTGCGGTACAGAGGGGAGAGCAGTTGTCTGCAGTGCTGGGGGAGACCCAGCAAACCCCGCACGGGCTCGGATTCTCAGGGGTCCAGCTCCAGGCCTGCTCTGGAGCTTGGTACCCAGCAGGTAAGAAAATCCCCAGCAGTTGTTGCTGCCCCAGTCACCGGGTGCTGATGGTTTTAGCTCTTCATTGGTTTCCTATAGAGATGCAGGTCAGAGCTCGTTCCTCTGGCGTCTTCCTGGAGAAGCTCTGCTTCCTGCACCACATGCCAGGAAAGCCATGGCTGTACTGCCTAAGGCATCGCCCTCACCAGCTTCAGGAGACAAGAGGTAACCATGTCCTCTTGTTTCAGATGCAAGTGGAAAGAGTGTGATTGCTTCATCTTTTCTGTGCTTCTCAAAGACCTGAGAGTTGCAGAATCCCAGTGCTGGTAAAGGTGCGCTCACCCTTGGATCCGTAACAAAGCAGCTACGACTGTCCCAGGATCTTCGAGCAAGACCATAAGAATATCTATCTCTGTTTCCCTGATAGGGGATCAAGGGTGAGCTTCCTTTGGTTACACTGAGGTGCCTGCTGAAGCAGAGCTGGTCCCCTGGCCACAGCCCCACTCCTGCCCTGTGTCTGTGCTAACCCTCCAGGCTCAGCCTGTGTGTGGTGAGAACCAGAGATCCCAGACCACATTAGGGCAGGGCTGGTGGGTTTGGAGCAGCAGCTCCCACCAGACTGTGCTGACTGCAGTGACCTCTGTCTGGGAAATAAGAGGGGCAAAGGAAGAGAGTGGTCCCAGGGGAGGAGGGATGCAGCCAACCAAGAAGCAGCCCCTGCCTTGGACAAGGGTGGAAAATACTCTGAGCTCCTTGACGGAAGGGAGGGCTCTGAACATCAGCCCACAGCTTCAACCCCTCTCCAGCGCTGACAACACTGATGGAACAACACTGATGGAACTCCACATATCAACCCAAGCTCCCACCAGCTCCAGAACAGATATGATGAAATTATGCCCTAGCAGAGGAGTGAAAGAAGCCAGCTCTGCAGGAAATGGGGCCATTCCTACCTTGTGCTCCCTGCCCAAGATTCAGGGCTGGGGCCAAGCAAGGGGCTGAGGAAGGTTTGCACAAGCAGCACAGAGTCACTGCTGTACCAGAGTAGTCACACAGAGTGAGGTCCATGGTCTCCATCCTCTGCCACAGCAGCCACCCCACCATCTATCTACTTCTCAGAATAAAAGAATGACATAGAGTAGGGCCTCAGCTGGACAAGCTCCTCAACAAGCTTCTGCCACAACTCTCCTGCCACTCTCAGCAGCATCCTCTGCACCCTCCTTCCTGTCGGACAGAAACAGCAGCCTGAGCTCCCCAAAGGTCAACACCAACCCAGCTCCAATCCATAGACCTGAACACTTTTTAAAATCCCTCTCAGGATGAGATGAAGGTGAGGAAGCCCATGGCAGGCTGGCTCCTGGAGACGGAGGGAGTGCAGGGCAGCAGGGTGCAGGCTGCAGCCACCACTGGAAAAAGTGCACAGAGTCCCAGGTGAGAGCTAAGCACAAAGATGAGAAAAATTAATCCAGGATTTCAGAGAAAGTGCCCATGGGAGCAGGACTCCCTGGTGTGGATGTATCCTCCTGCACAGGCTGTCACTGTCTGAGGATAGCACCTCACTTAAATCGTCTTCCTACAGAATGTGTGTCAAACCACTGCTCTGATTCATTGAAAAGGCACCCAAACCCTTCTACAATGCTATTTTGGTGCACTAAATTAATTCAATTTCCATTTAAGTGTAACAGTCCCATTTTCAAACAACCTAGTCACATGGAAAAATACAATGTTTAAAAAGTAACAGCATAAACTGTAACCTGTATGTATCAAAGCAGTTATATCTTATTGCTTAGCAAACTACTTCATTAAATGTAGAAATTATCTTTTGTTGCCAGTTATTACATTTTGTGGTTACCAACCGACTGTAATTAGGCAATCTCTTAAAGGAAAAAAAGCTTGAGTGTAAAGGCAAATAAAACCATATAGTGGGATTTAAAACCAAGGCTCTTCATTTCATTTAAAAGCAGAACTGGAATAGCTCCCAATTAGATACTAGCTGGGCCTGATCTCTTTTCCTGGAATAAAAAAAAAAAACAAAAAAAAACAAACAAGTGGCAGAAGAGATTTCTGGAGCCCTTCAGGAAGGTGCCAGATGCACCCAGGGATGCTGTATAGCAAACATCCTAATTGTGATGAAGCAAGTTTAGAGACAGGATCTGGTAAAAGGAGCAACTGCTCTGTAAACTCAGCTCCAGTTGTATACCTTGCAGGATCTCTATGGAGGCAGTGTGCCAGAGGGCTGCATTTGCCACAGGCTCCAGTGCTCTTCCTGCCAGGGCTGATGGCCAGACTGCCCCCATCCCCATCCTGGCTCAGAGAGGCTGAAAAGATTCCCTCTGCTGCGAGGAGTCCAGGCAGGAGGTGTAGGCATGGCCTCGACTTTGTAGCCTGCTTGGGGACCACAGTGAAGCTCTTCATGGAAGCAGTTTAATTCATTGCACCCCTTGTGGCTTCTGCGAGCTGCTCTGCAGGCATCAATACTGGGGGTGCTGAAGTAGGGGTGCTGAGCACCCAGTTCAGCCCAGGGGAGCTGCCAGGCCAGGCACACTGCAAAGCAAGGCCTGACGTAGGGGACAGGAATAGAAACCACGTCTCCTGACTGAGAAGGCAGGTGGCCACGAGCAGAGCACGAGACGGGGGCAGATAAGATATGGGGTGCTGAGCAAGTGTGGCACTGGGGAGGGACAGCCCAGCACCCAACCTGCCCAGGCAGGCAGGAAGATGCCTCGTCAGGGCATCTGTGGATACTGGGCCACAGGCTTGAAACACAGGGAAACAAAAAGGGGAGGCAGTGCTACTACCTCGACAGATGGCACAGCGTTGGCAACCAGGACAACCAGCCAACCATGGCATGGCAGAGCAGGGCAGAGCAAGAGGTGCAGGAACAGAGATGAGCAGCCCTGGAAACAGAACTATAAATGCCAGACACGGGTACTTCGGTCCTAGGAAAACCCATAAAACAGCAGAGAAACAGCACAGCCCAGAGCACACAGTAGTGGGGCAGCACCAGCCCCATCACTACCTGCAGGAACAGGGTGACCCCCAGGGTGTCAGGCTTTGCCTGGCCTTGCCACATGAGACCTTCCTCACCCAGCCAGGGGAGAGAAATGCAAAATCTTCTTTCCTACAGGTCTGCAGGAAGCTCTATCACTGATCCTCCATTTAGAGGTGAGGGGGCTTATCCCAAATTTCTCTGGCAGGGAAAAGGGAGAGCAGGCTGCCCTGCTTAGCTACCACTGTCAGAGCAGCCAGATATTTTCCATGGGCCACATACAGCTCTGGAGCACCTAACTTGGCAGGAAGGTGCCTGGGAGACTCTCATGCTGTCTGGTTTTGTTCCTCAGTAGGTGAATGAGCAGTGGTGAAGACCCCTTTGCCCAGAAGCTGCTGGGCACACCCATGGCATGCACAGCCTGGGAAGCCTGTCCTTCTCTGGGGTTGTGTAATACAGCAACAGCAGGGAAATCTGGCATCCGACAGCCCGGCCCTGCTTACCTCAGGAGTCACAGCTGCAGTGGAGGAAGCATTCACATCATTAGGAGAAGTTAATAAGCCAGTTGCCTCAATAGCAGCCCCATCTCAGCAGGGAGCCTATTCTCCAATGCAGCATGGCATGAAATGGGGGAAATTTGGACATCAGGAAGCCTGACCAGCCCTGAGCAGCCCCCAGGTCCTTCCATAGGCTGTGAGGCTTGGAGGATGCATCCTGCCCTGTCCTGGGCAGCCCTACAGGGCTCAGGATGTGACCCCAGACCTCAGTGGCACTGAGCCCTATGAAAGCTGCCCCAGAGAGCATTGTGGGGATGATCACAGACCTATGGAAAACCCTGCACCAAGAACTCTGTCTGCCCACCCAGAGAGTCTTGGTGGAAAGGAAGGAGGGACTGGGGCTTCTGTGCTTTAGATCATCCCTGCTCCCCTTTGTCTGGAGGCATGGGGCCAATGGAGCTGAAGGAGGTGAGTGCTTTGCCCCTGCTCAGCAGGTCAAGCCTTCTTGGAAGGGCAGCAGGGAGACAAGGCCCACCCTTCCTCTGGGGCGGAGGAAAAAGTGTGTGTAGAAATTGAATAAAAGACTGATGGTATGACATGAAAGGCTGGGCTGGGACTGCAGGGTCACACAGCTGGAGGAAACACCCAAAGGAGAGAATCAAGCTGTGGCTCAGTTCTGGGTGCAGCAGAGCTGGAGCTGTCCTGTCAGGGTGGGGCCAAGGCCATCCACTTGTCCTTGCCCTGGGCAAACAAAGAGAAAAAATCACAAAAAATCAGCAGTGGGACCCTGAAGCGGACACACTGCCCGCCTGTGCATGGCTCAGGTGGTGCTGACAGACAGGGCTTTCTGTGCTCGTGCTGCTCGCAGCTCTGTGCTGTTCTCACTGCTTACAAGGCAGCTCAGCACAGGAGGGAGAGGCAGAAAAATGCCCAGACCAAAATTACTCAGGGTTTTATTTGTAAGGCTGGTGCTGGAGGAAGTGGATTTCCGCAGGCAGTGAAGAAAGGCTGCATTGAGAGGCCGGGGTGGGCAGAGCACAGGAGACGCAGCAGCCTGGGCTCCCCTGTGGCCCTGCTGCAAACCCAGACGGGGAGTGGGAGCAGGCGCTGCTGGATAGCAGGAGCAAAGGGAATCTGTGCTGGGACCAGAGCAGAGAGCAGCTCATGGAGCTAGGAAAAGCCCTGTTTTGGACAAATTTGTCTAGGCACTGCTGACTTTGGAGCCAATCTCTGGGTGAACCGTTCCTTTCCCCCACCACTGTCCTGCTGAGATTTTCTGGTCTCATTATGGGTTGTGCTTCCTATGGGACATTTTATTATTGGCAGCATCTCTTCCATCTATTTTCTATTTTCACAAAACATCTGCTCTTTCAACTACAGTCGGTACTAGGTAGCAAATTCAAAAGCTATGAGGGCAAGGGGCAGGTCAGCTGCATTGCATAGGTATCATTTCCTGAGACTGTGAAGAATCTTGGATTGGGACACTAAGCAACAAAGATCCCAGGAAAAACTCAGTGCAATCTTAATTTCTGGTACGTTCTGGCAGTTTGAGTCTTGGACTTTGCAGCAAGAAGGTTCCTATGAGCCAGCTGGGGCAAGGGGCTCCCTGGGATTTCCCAGTGCGCCCAGAGTGTGAGACACGGGGCCAGAATAGGCAGCTCAGAGCTCCTCCTCCTCCTCTCAGCGGTGGAAATCCTGAGTCCTTCCTTTGCCAGTGGCTGGTGACCTCCCCACACCCCACCACAGCACAACCACTCTCGTGTGGGGTGTGCAGCTTTGCCCACATAAAGGGCGCTGGTTTGGGACTGCTCCCGGTGCTCAGCCTCAAACCCAGCTAAACCGCATCCGGCACCCAAAACCTCATCCTGAGTGCTACTCTCACTGCTGGGGCTCAGTCCCACAGGCATCTGTTCTAGGGTTTTCCCAGCCCTAATCGGCTATTAGAAACTGAGTTTCTGTGTGTCACCCCCTGGTTTCCATTGCTGCCGTCATAGTGCTGGGATCTGACCGGGGTCTGGCCAAGGGTTTTTCTCAACCACAAAGAAGAAGAAACACGTTTTGCTTCCTGTGCCCGGGGCAAGTCCCTAAATGCCACGGAACCTTGGCCAGGGTCACGGGGAAGGGGACAGCCCCCCGACTCGGGGCATATGGCGAAGCTCGGCGGTGTCGGTGGACGGGGCTGTCAGCGCCACGCTGCAGACCGCATCTGCCCGCGTGGGGATGTGTCGATCGTAGAGCAGCGCCGAAATTCGGCCCAAGAGAGGCTGCTTGGGGCCGGGCTCTGGCTTCTGCTCCGTCCCGAATAGCTCCATGCGTCCTGCCTCTCTCCCCGCAGGCACAGGGCCCTCGTCCCGTCGTGCTGCGGGAGGCGGCAGAGTTCGGGCTTTGTCCGGGGTTCCCTCGGGGGGAAGCTCAGCCGCGGCTCGTAGGCACCCGCGAACTGCCGGGCGGGAGGCAGGAGGCTCGCAGGGCTGGATGCCGGAGGGCGAGCGCCTCCAGGATCGTTGCTCCCCTCCCCGCACATCCCCTCGGGATCCCGCCGGAGCGCCGGGCGGGAGCTGAGCCCGGCTGGCTCCGCCGGCGGGAGCAGCGCTGCCGGCAGCTGCCTTGTATGGGCAAGGCCGGGACCGGCGGCCGCGCTGCTGCCCGGAGCGCGGGGCTCACCCGGGACCCCCCCGAGCATCCTTGGGCCACCTCACCTGAGCGTCCGCCGGGGCATTTCGCCCGAGTTCGAGGGGCAAGCCCGGGGCCCTGCTCCCCGGAGAGGGAGCCCTGGGAGGGTGGGTTCTCCAGCCCCTTCTCCTGGAGCCCCACTAGCGAGCGGAGGACCCCGTGTCCCGGCGCTGCCCCGACGGCTGTCCCGGCGCTGCGCTCCCCGCCGAGGCGAGACCGGCGGGCCCCCTCGGTCAGCCCCCCCCGCCCCGGCACCCCTCGGCGGCCGCCCCGGTACCTGGCAGGGCGCAGAGCAGGCAGCAGGCGGCGGCGAGGTGGAGCAGGGCGCGCCGCGTCCCCTCCATGCTGGGCCGATCCGCTCTGGCTCCGCCGGCGGCACCGGGGCGGCGCCGGGGCGGGCCAGCGACCGGGGCGGGGCGGCAGGCACGTGGTCCAGCCCCGGCCCCGGAGGAGCGGGGAGGGGGCAGCTGCCGGCCCCCCACACCGCGGGCCTGGTACCCCGCATCTTCATGTCGGACAGCGCGCTCTCGGTCCCAGTTCGGTCCCCGGCACCCTCGGTTCGGTGCACCACCCCCAGCATCACTAGCTGGTCCCCTGCACTCTGGGTTCGGGCAGGACACCCTTGGCACAGTCCGACACCGGCCTCGGCATCCTTAGAGCGGTCACTCCTGGTTCGGACAGGACACCCCGGTCCCGTATTTCTCTGTTCTGGGAATCCTTAGCCCAGGTTTGCACCATCTCATCAACCGATGGACAGGTTCAAGTGATCCCAGACCAGGATCTTACCACCTCCTAATCTGCTCTTGGCACCCCTAGTTGAGCCTGACACCCCCACTTCTGCCCCATGCAGGGATGGGAACAGCAGATGAGCCCAACGCGGAGCATCATCTTGGGGCTTCTGGATAATTTTGGGGTACCTGGATCTGTGGGCATAGCTGGGTGCAGAGGTGCTCCAAGTACCCCTGGATAACAGCCCTGGTCAGGGTTCAGCTGGGTGCTCAATGTGCCACGGCTGGTTTCTCAGGGCATCCTGCAGCCCCTGGAACATCCCCTGGCTTCACATCCCTTCCAGCCTCCTCGAGGCTGGCCAGCCTCACCCAGGCAGTGTGCAGGCTGAGCCATCCTTCAGGAAGTCTGACTGCTCTCTTCTGGCCAGCATTTCTGAAGAAGAGTGTCCCATGTCATGGCATGGTAGGTGCTGATCCTCTCTCAGGCTGCTTTGGCAGAGAGGGGGCTGTGGGTCCCCTTCAGCATCAGATATCTGTGTCTCCAGCACCAGGGGACACAGGAAGAAAGTAGAAATGGGTATTAACCCGAGAGTTTTTGCCTCCTTTTTTCAGTATTGGGCTGCTTGGTAGCTCCTGCTCTCAGTTTGGGGGTAGAAGAGAGTTGATCTGATACAGAACTGATCACGCCTTTTACCAGCTTTATTAGAAAAAGCAAAATTCAATCTTAGCCCCTCATGGGAAATGTGTTTCTAGCTGCTTGCTACTTACTGCCAAGAAAACTAGCTGTACCATTTTCTGCAGAGGTAACTGCTTGTACAAATGTCTCAGTTCTTAGGGGAATTCTTTTAAGCATATTTACAACTACTTAGTTGGTTATAGGAATCTTCTACTACCCACAGAGGTTGCAGGGCTACCCAACAGACCGAAACCTCCTTTGCTCCAGACAGGCTTGGTCTCTCAGTGCTGCACCTTGCATCACCCAGGCCAGCAGCCACATCTCACCAGTGAGGGACCAGGGCATCTCCCCAGGACTCACCCCTGAGGAGGGCACGAGCTGCAGGGGACATGGGCACTGCTGGCTGTGCCCACAGCTCACGAGTGCATCCAATGCCTGCGTGCTTGACTCACTTCTCTGCTCTGGCCTCTCCCCAGAGACGCCAAAACCATGTCCATCTCAGCTGTCTTAGAGAGGGTGGTTCGCAGTCGTCAAGGTTACCGGTCCCTCTGCTTTAATTAAGCACATAGACACCGCACGGGGTATTTTCAACAGCCAGAGAACAAGGAGGAAGGGGGCCTGGCAGTCCCCGGAGGGGTTGGTGAGCAACACCATAAATCTGGGCAGATGAGCCCCCCTGCAGGTCACTGCTATTACTTAGCTGATCTCCACACTCATTAGGATTATTATTAACACACTAATGAGGTACCTTTGGCTCCCCATAGCAAGGAAGGTGCAATTGTGAACAGGAAAAAGGACTGCATCTGTGTGACAATGCTGATACTGCCGATGTCCCACCCTGGAGAAGGGAGCAAAAGCAAGGGAAAATTTAACAATCCTCTGGTACACAGCCACTTTCTCATGGAATAAGCAAAACCATTCCCCTTAGACAGCAGGCAGCAGCCCCCCATGTCTGTGTAGGCTCTTGGCTTGTTCTTGGGTAAGACTGAAAACACCCTTACAAGCCCTAGCAGCATCTTGATCAGACAGGTCTGGGTAGCATTGAGAGTTGAGGACTTAGGATAACTTTCTTTCAAAAGTTTTGTGCTCAAAAACTACAGCATCAACTTCTACCACTGTCACACCTCCCTCTTGCAGTGGTTCTGTTCAGCTCCCATCCTTTTTTTCCTGGCTGCTGGCCAAGTCATGGAGCAGACCAGAGATGATAATGTTGGTTATAGTAATTTAATAGGAAGAAGCAGATCATAGAAAATAAGTGAATAGAAAACAGTGGCAGCAAAAGAGCTGAGGGGAAGGAGGCAGGAGGGAGAGAGGTGCTGGCCCTGGGAAAGACAAGTAAACTCAGTCCTTGGGGTGTGCCCCCCAGCCCAGGGTATGACACAGGCTGAGTGTCCCCAGCTTTGGCCTTGCTGCCACCATAACCTGCAGCCCCACACAATCTGAAGAGTGATCACCTGTTTCACCAGCCCAGGGGTGAGTGATTGCAGCAGAGGGAGTCCTGAACAGAGGGACGGCTCTGGGCATGTGGGTGATTCACCTGGGCTTTGGGCTCATGTAAATTATCCCATTTCTTGTGCTTCAGCCTCTCTCCCCTCTGCCCTTTGCCAGGGACTCTGGGAGCACGGCTGGTGCACATCTCAGCCTGGCCTTGCAAAGCCCAGAAGATCCCAGCCTGCTCCCTGTCCCCTTGCTTTTTCATGAGGATAGGGCATAATTAGGATGGTCTTGGGGTAGACAGGCCCAGGTGTCATCCCTAAACAGCTGCTTTCATCCTCCAGAAGCTCTTCAGTACAGAATGAGGAGAGGGCCTGCTCTCAAAGGAAGGCAACTTGGCACTTGTAGGGATTTTCAGTTCTCAAGGAAGCTGAAGTTGATTGACTGGAGCAGAAGAGCTAATCATTGAGTCATTCCCTCTCCCAAAGTTGAAACTTTTTTTTTTATGAAAGGCAAATTAAATCCCACAAGTCAGAGCCAAGAAAAGAGAATTTATTAAAGAGCAGAAGATGCCACTGGGGGACTTGCAGGCAGACAGAGGGAGCATTTGCTCAGCAGCCCAGGATATTACATCTCCTGTGTCTCTCCCCCAATGTGAAGAGCACTGCCATTCATCTATTTTTAATAACAATGACGCAGGCAGTGAACCTGACTTCAAGGCTGGAATATTATCTTCTTCCCTCTGCATATCTGTCCTGACTCATCCTCTGTTCCAAGAGCTCTTCACAGCTTGGTAGCCCAGCAAAGCGAGACAGGAAGAACAAAACTAAAAAAAAAAAAAAAAAAAAAGTGGAACAGACAGCAAAGCGTAAGAATTATAAGAGTTAGAGAATCATTCGCGGCAAGGAACAATAAACATTGCGACTTCACTGGCTCAGGGAGCCAAGGAAAATTAAGGGTCTGGGAAACCTAAATATATCTGGGGGCAAGCTGATCAGAGTGGGATCTCTCAGAGACCTGAGTAGGGATCTGGTAGCATCTGGAGACTTGTGGATCTTGCAGCTCTGCAAAAAGGACTGGAGAAAGCTGGGGCAGAGCTGAAGGTGCCCAAGCCTGGGGTGCCTGGGGAGGAGGACAAGCTGAAGAGCCCTGTGGTGGCAGAGGTCTTCAATTTCAGTGCCACAGAAGGGACAAGTCTCTTCACTGTTGTAACTGCAGGGATAAGGAGTGAGTGCAAGTGTGAGGAACATAACCAGAGGAGGAGAGACTGCTGTGCAGCCTGAGGACACAAAAAGCTGTGCCTTCATCCCGGAGATAGCCTGGCTTAACTGTGGAGTGAGGACAGCGCACCAGGCAATGCAGAAACTCTTTCATGCCTCAACATGGGACAGCAGAGATGGGACTAGATAGCCTTTGGGCTGTTGGCCTCAATCTTCATAGAGCTCTGTGGCCTCTTTCAGCATCCACCATGGTCTAACATTGTGCAAATGTGTATTTCTGCACTTTGGTGGGTGAATACAAAGTGAATACAGCTTCGTCAGATGTTTAAGGTTTTACCCTACAAAATTGGTATTCAGACATCTCAAAAATTCAGATGCTGCTAAGAGAAGCCATGCCTCAGGCCTGTCCTGAGTACTGGGGCCTCACCCTTTGATCCTCAGCTCCCAAGGGCTGAGCATGGTGTGATGGGCTCTGCCCAGGGCTGAAGCAAGGCACAGTGACACAGGGTCAGTCCTGGCTCATTGTCCCAGTGTTTGCACAGCTTCGTGCCTGGGAGCACCTCAGAGCAGGCAGGAGCCAGCTGGTGCCACTCCATAACCATGGTACCGCCAGGAGCTTGGTCGTAGCCATGCCACAGCACTGTGACAGGGTGACAGGCTCCGAGTTGTAGCCAAGGCAGCAGATGGCTATGATGAGCAGGCAGGGGAGCACAAGACTGTGGCAACCAGTCCCAGTACAGGAGCTGTCAATTTGGACATATCCATTTGCTCTAGAACAAAACCTTTCCAGTTTCTGAGGCAGGGTGTCTGGTGCTGTGCCAGAGCCCTGCTTGGGCTCTGCCCAGCCTCCTGGAAGAGGAATGTGGAAGATGCTCTGACATTGCCATGGTTGCCAGGTCTCGTGCAGAGATGTGTGGTGTTGGGTTTGGGATGATATGGCAGCACTTCTTTGAGTGCAGGGACACACTGGCCACCTCCTCTGCACCAGTGGTGAGACAGAATTGTTTACCCAGTTGGTCAGCAGGCAGGTACATCCTCGGCCAGAGGACAGCATGCAGGCTGCCCCCATGGTGCCCTCCTTGCAGCCAGGAGCATGGGCATGACAAAACAAGGGGCAGGGGGTCAGAGCACAGCCCAGCTGTGCCTGTCCCCTTCCCCTGCTCAGAGTAGCAGGAAATGCCCTCTCACCCACAAGCAAACTTGTCCCTGTTCTGCAAAGGCCACCTGTAAGGCTGGCTGAGGGAGGCACAGGTGGGAGAATGTTTCTCCCAGGGAACCCGTTAAGATGGTTTTCAAAATCTAGGGGTTTAGTGTGTGACTGAAAACCTAAAGGCATCGTTTTTTCATGGTTGTTCTGTTATACATGCACCTAGGACAGGGGCTAGAAAAGGGCCTATGTTGACATTAATCAAGAGCAAATTCTTGGCATTGCCATGGGGACGCTCTCTTCCAGCTCCTGTGACATGACTTCAGATCTTCATGGGAGTAAACCGAGCAGAATTTGACCAATCCTATCCAAATGTGTTTTTTCTTGATAGGTTTCATTACATAAAGTATTTAATAGGTTAAATCACTAAAATGCCCAATCTCTTCAGAGTACTGTGAGGTCAAGCCACTGTCTTAGTCCCTTGGGAGGGAAGAGAGATAGTCCCTATCTTGTGACACTTGTTCGATTTTGGAGTCCATAGAACCTCTGCTGGGGAGAACACCTGCTCTGCTGAAGTGGGAGCAAATTTGCATGGATTCATTGCATTAGCTTTCTTCTTGGGAAGGAGAAATCTCCCAAATTTCCGGGGCATTTCCAAAACCCGGAGGAAGGGAATTCCCCCTTCTGCCTGCTCTCACCCACCTTCTCATGTCTATTTTTATGTCCAACCGTGAGTGAATCCTCCTTTGCCAGACCGGTTACATTTAAAAAGCCAAAGGGATCCGTCTGGAGGAGAGAGTCAATTTGAGAGCGGAGAGGGGCAAACCGCAAAGCCACAGAGCTGCTTTTTGGAGTGGCCGATCTTTGCATGGAGCAGCCTGGGGGCATGCGGAGGAGAGGGGAATACCGGCCGTGAGCACAGGCATTGACAGGTTGCGGGACCCTTCTGGGATGCGAGACTGGCAGAAGCGAGAGCGCTGTGGTATCTGCGAGACTTTGCCTTTGATGAGTCTCTTTGATGAGTCTTCTAATGCGGTGTTCATTTTCCTCTCTCAGGGAAACAGAGGGAGACTACAAAAGTCACTCGTCCTCTGCAGGTTTCAAGGCTGCAGATTTGCCCCGGTGCTTCTGCCAGCTGCGAGGGGGGACAGGGACTTCGTGAGACAAAGTTCTGCTGCGATGTATCGTTTTTTCTGCCTTCAAAACGTAGGACTTGCTGTTGAGATGAAGCCATAGGAGGGCTCATAAGATGGTTTTATTTCCCTCTCGAAACAGGGCTGAGTAATGTCACGAGTCACAGGACCTCATGCAATGGTACGTGAAACGCAAAGTGATTGTTTCCTACTGAAATTCAACTGTACTGGATCGCTCTGGTGTGTTTTCATGATGTTATTTTACACCAGACTGTGGGATAAGTGCTTATTCCTGGATATTACCAGTAAGACACTCCAAAAGCAGGAATTACAAGTATCTTGCTTGGGAAACAAAAAGGAGGTAATTTTTTTGATGTGGAACAGGGGAAAGATAATTCGTTTGCGTAGTTCTGGGATCAGGTCCTAAGAAGAGCAGTAATTAAAAGGTACCACCAGATGTCACCTTAAAGCCAACTAATAGCTCCCAAAACCGCATGGACGAGGATACCGGGAAAAAGGGAGGTTACTGTGGCTTTTTATCGGTGTACAAGGTCGCAGGGACCATTGGACCCTGACATGGTGAAGGACCCCGGAGATGTTCCAGAGTTGACTTTGCAAAATCTTGTTGAGATAAATCCCAGCAAAATATAAAGCATTGAAATTTCACTTCCAAAAAAAAAAAAAAAATTGTAATGAAAACATATTGCTAAAAACTCCTATTCTGAGACTCAATTCTGCTTGAATATAGAGAGGAGACTGATGGATCTGGGTACTTCCATCTGCTTTGTCACTCATTAAAATATGATAGATACGATAATAATTTCTAATGGCTTAATTACCAAATTTGCTACGCCCTGTGTTTGAACTGTCATTAGAGTAGACGTTTGCAAGTGGTTGATATTTGACATTTGTGAGAGTGGGAAAATTTCCTGTGAAGGAAATCCAGGAGGAAATTAAGAAAACAAGATGCTTTTTGCCCACACACAAAGTACTTTTAATCTGTTACCTGTGCAAAGATGATTATATTTTTTATTGTTAAACATACAGAGAAAGTTTCACTGTAGACTCTAGATTGAAATCTTGAGACTAAATTTAATCAAGACATTGCAGAATAGAGAGATTTTATTCCAACTGTAAGAATAAGTCTCTGCTCAGTATTTAGAGCTGGTGCTAATGTGTCCAACATCAAACTCCCTCCAGCATATTTTAGATCACGCTGAAAAGACTAGATTTAAAATTAATGATGAACAATAATGAGAAAAAAATACTAATATGGTATGGCAAATCTGAGTGACACATTCTTGTTCAAAACTCTTTTTAGTTACAATTCCTCTGGTTTATAACTGCTCGGGATTGGGTTATTCTATCCAAAACTGTATAGTAAATGAACTTGGTTTGTTGAAGAGTTTCAGTAAAAATAGCTCAGCCTCTGCCAAAGATGAAGTCAGGGAAAAAAGTCAGCCTCTCGCCAATGTAAAACAAAACCAAATCCCCCTCACAAATGTTTAATGAGATGTTCTAGTCCTGCCGTGCTTTGGAATGGATACACGGAATCTGGCAGTGCGTCGCATCAGGAAGAAAGGTGTCTTTTTCCATACCTGTTACAGGCTGCCTGCATGTGGATAAGTGATAATTTGAAAAATAACAGTTTTGATGTGAAAAATTCCAGGCCTATTTCATCTTGGCGGCCGAACCCCCAGAATATCTGAGCTGGATTAAGCAGATTTCAGGCGGGGCCGGGGGTGACCGACACCAGGAGCGGGGGGCAGGCAGATGGGAAGAACGGGAAGAGTAAACGCTGAAATTACAAGTCTTGGAGAGAGGAGGAGACCAGAGAAACGGATGAGTCCAGTGGGAAACTTAGCAGGGGACTGTGATTAGAGGAATAACAGCAGGGTTACCATCACGGAGCCAGCTGCGGTCACCGAGGGCCGCAGGGATAGGGAGGGGAGGGGATGGGGAATGGGGGATGGGGGATGGGGGATGGGGGATGGGGATGGGACCGGGGATGGGACCGCGACCGGGACCGGGACGGGAGCTTCTGGACGTCTGAGTGCCCGCCCCCACTGACAACTTCAGCCAGTGCCGCTATAAACACACGATGATTGGCTGTCCCGCCCGTCCATCATTGTCCGCCCCGCTAGCCTACTGGCTGCTTCTCTTATTTATTACCCGCCCTCAGGGGCTGACCAATGAGAGCGAGGCGCCCATAGCAACGCCCCCTCTTCTTCCTGCCGCTGCCTCCTGCTCGTCTCTCGGGAGTTGTTATCCCTCCTGTAATTGGTCAGACTGTGTGTCGCTCAAGAGCCCACGACCAATTGGAAAGGGGCATTCACGTGGCCTACCTGCGAATCCCTCCGCCCAGTTTCCTTTTTCCATTGGTCGAGAGGCACCGTCCATCACACTTTGCCTGGCACCGATTGGCTGAAGGGGAGGGGCGGGAACCGAGCGGTTCCCGCCCCGGCGCTGTGGGCGGTGGCGGTGGTGAGGAGGAGGAGGAGGAGGCGGAGCCGGCGGTCGCGGCCCCGGGTCCCGCAGCCGGGCTCCCGCCTCACATGGGGCCCCCGCGCCGGCCGGAGCGGCGGGGCGGACCCGCGCCGGGGTGCTGAGGGGCCGCGGGTGGGGGATGCGGCCATGAAAGCCCGCGCCGCCCGCGGGCCCTGCAGGCGCCGCCGCTCAGGTAACGGCTGGCGCGGGGGCGGCGCGGGGCAGGTCCGGGCGGGTCGGCGGCGGGGAGCGGGGAAGGGGTTCCTTGCCGGCGGAGGGGTCTCACTGCGGTGAGGTGAGCAGGGCGTTCTGGGGAGCAGGTTCGCGGAGGGGCCGCGTCTGCCCCGGCGGCGGCAGGTGAGGGGCGGCGGGCGCTGCGGGAAAGCCGCGCTCGGATCTGGCTGCGAGGGTCTGGCACCGCCCGGCGCGGGTCTTTGCCCGGCCGGGATTGCCTTGGAAATGTTCGTTTCGACAAGAGGTGTGAGGGCTTGGCTCGGGTTTTGTTGTTGAAGTGCTACCCTGTAAGAATACGTGAATCACCCATTAATGACAGGCTCGAGTGTTCAAGTGTATGTGCGTATATGTTTGCTTTATGGCCTTCAGGTGAGACGTGCTATATAAAGGTAGCTACTCACTCTTACTGTATTCCTTGGAGGGTCGGAAGGGTTTTTACTTCGAGTACGGGGGACTTTCCACTTGGATGTTCCTGTAAGTGGTGCTGTAATAATAGAAAGTACAATTTCAAAAGTAATGAATCGAATTTGAAGAGTACTGAGTTGAATTTTATTTCAACCTTTCTGTTTGCCCCTCTAAAAAAAGTAACAGGTAACATTTAGGCTAGTTTATGAGAAGCCGTTGTGCTTTGACTGTTGTTTTCTGTTTTTTTTAATAGAGATCAGAGTTCTAGCATATTTTATTGTCTGCAAAATAAACAGACTTACAGTTCCATGGACTTAATTAGGCAGTGGAATTTGCAACCTAAGATAAGATTTTTATGAGAAACTCTGACATGCCCTGTGGACTAGTCATAAACCTTTCCATTTAGTCGTCATTCTTGGAAATTATTATTGCATGCCAATAAAAATGTCATTTTCTGATTCTTGCAGTGTTCAGCTGTAGACATGGCTGAGTAATTCCATTGTCCGTTATGGTTTGTGTAAAGCTTTCATGCAAAACGAGTAGTTTAAACTGAAGGCAAAGTTCAGTATAGGCAAACTATGTTCCCTATACCTGGTGGCAAGTGTGCTCTCCTGTGTTTTTTTGCTTTGATTTGTTTTGTGTCTTTCCATTAGGACGAGCAGCTGGCAGTGGGACCAAGCACAAATTAGGGCCTACAGAGCAATCCTTGCTTCAGTTCTTCATATTTTTGTGACTGTAGAAGGACAGAAGTAGTTCAAAAGAGCTGCTCTGGTGGCACAGGCCTCCTGTAACCTAGTTATACCCTCCAATTCCAAATATTTGCTTTTGCTATTGTAATCCTTTATGCAGATGGCTTCACAGACACATGAAAGAAATGCAGGGTTAAAGGAGGGGACTGTTGCTTCTGTGTCTGCTGCAGAAAAGAATGAAGCTTGTGGTTCACTTGCATCATAGGTTCCCTTTCTGTATTTTTCCTGTAGCAGACACCCATGCATTTGCACAATGGCAAAGCTCTTTATTGTGTCCATGCAGTGTGGCATCTTGCAAACTGGCACAAAAATAAGAGCTCAGCTAGGCAAGATCAAAAAAAGGTCAATGTTCATAATTTTTTCTTAACGCCCTTTTCGTGCTTATTAGTTCCCTGACATATTCATTTGGTGCTGTGTTTTCATCAGTAAGTCCATCTAATAATCAGCAACTGTATCACAGTGGCTCCATCTGTTGTCTGTTGCCAAGTCTTCTTTCTGACTTAGATTGTAAGCTTCTTTTCATATGATCCTGTCACTTTTTGTTAAGTTGAACACATTGCTGGTAGTGGCTAAGCCACTTTCTGGTGTGATTGTCCTGTTGTTTGCACTGGAGAAATGTAACAGCTTTTGCAGCCAGGAGTGGAGTTGGTTGAAATAACTTTGCTTTTGAAGGCTGACCTTGTACACTCCAGGTCCACAGCTCTCAGACTCTGAGTTAATGTGTTTTCCATTGTACATGGAGCTTCAGATTGGTTTGTAAATACCAGCAGACATCAGTGTCTGCAGTACCTTAAGAACAACAGGTTTGGGAAGCCCTGTTCTCACTTCAAAAACTCATAAATTAGTGAGGACTGTGTTACTGTTGCATTAGTGCAGCTGCTACTGCAGTAAACAAGGTACTTGGTGTTTCACTGTAAGGTGAAACCAGTAACATAGGCTTGTGCTTAGTAAGGATAGGCTACAGAATGTGTCTTAAATATTTGTGGAGATGCTACTTTTAGCTGGAAAATACAAATATTGACTGCTTTGTGTGGTGATGCCTAAATATAAGTGTGTCCAAGAGTTGTCAGTCAGGTATGAAATTCAGCCTGTTTACTTTGTCTTCATCCCTCTTTCAGGCATTCATGTTCTCCCCTTTGCTTTGCTGCTCTGGATTGTTTCACTGGCTGCATTGAAACAGCAAAAGTTGCTTCCAGTCTCATGTGAAACACTCAGGGCTAATAGAGCTGTCAGCCCTCATTGCAAACCCAGCAGAGAGGCTGGGGGGAAATTCCTAGATTGAGATGTTACAATACCTGTTGGTATTAGAAGGCTTTGATTCTCTTTCTTTTTGTTAAGAGCTCAGCAAACGTCAGCCTGCTGACACCTGGAAGGCATGAGCAGCTTCTCACTGTCTCTGTTGGGCTCTGTTTTGTTAAGCAAACATAATGTATTAAAATTATCCATTTGAAGCAGCAGCTGTGTCTTGTACATGATCGACTTGAGTGCTTATTTAACTCTAACGATGCTCTGTAACCAGGCTAGAGCCTGTCTGCACTGTGGATTGGAGTGACTGAAACCGGGCTAGGAGGGGAATGGATTGTTGCAAGGTCCTTGGTACAGCTTTAGTTTTGTAGTGTAATTGGACCCTAGAAAATGCCGGTAATTACACTGTAGGCATAAGGATCAAGTAGATTTCTGTTTGTTTGTGAGTTTTTAATATTCTCCCTCAGTTTTATTTGCCTTCTAAATATGTGCTAGAATTTATGCCTATGCCTGATGAAAATATTTTTAAACCTACAACCTTGGCCCTGAATCCTGAGCTCTGCAGTAATAGCTGGTCTCTCTTACTCATTTCAAACTTGGCTACAGTCACGAAATAAATGAACTGTTTGTTTCAGCTTAGCCTCTCTTGGAGGTTTGTTTGCATTATAAAATCATGATGCAGTTCAGCAGACTTCCAGTTTCTGGAGTGGTGTAGTAGGGCTAATGTAAGCCTCTTCTGAGGAATGTCAGTCCTAGTTTGCAGGAAGCTTATGCTATGACAGTACTGACTAGAGCTGGGAATTATCCTGTACAGGGGAGATGAAATTAAAGCAAAATGTCATGTAAGTGAAAATAGAAAATATTGGGATTTTCATGTTCAAGTGCAGTGTTGTAACTAAGACTATAAACTGAACCTAAAGACTTGTCCCATAAAGTAGTCAAAAAAGACTTCAGGTTCAGGATGAGCTGGGCCAAACATAGCCCAAGCTCTGGTATTTGTAGCTACCTCATCTGTAAATATTTGATACTATCTTCATCTCAAGGACAAGAAACTAAGTTATGAACAAACCAAGGAACTTTCTCCGTATGAGGAGAGCAGGTGACAGCAGCTGAGAACAAAATTGTTGACTGCCTGGTTCTCATTACCTGTTCAGTTTAAATTCTTGGATTTACTTTTTAAACATATTTTCCTTGTTTTTATTTTTTTGTCCTCCAGGCTAAAGACCTCAGTCAATTCAGTCTTAGGAAAATTTTGTTCTTTACATTTCTTTGAAATTTCCTTCTGAAATTTCTGCAGCACTACAGTGAAATCATCTTCCCCTTTGAGTTATTTTGTTGAGTGACACTTGCCAGCATAATTCCTTTCTGTTTTTGTGGTGCTGGCTGTTGAAGCTTCATCAAACTACAAGTTTAAATAGTTAACTCTTGGCAAATGACTTTTGTCAAAGCTTTGGCATCTTGTTCTTCAGAAAACCTTTTCAAATTAATAACATGCATCTGCCAGATTTATTGCTTTCCAGGCTGAATGCCTAGCAACGGTCTCTGTGTCTAAAAATGGTTGTTGTTATTAGGGCCATCTTTTAGGAAACTGTGAGTTTGACATTTGAGTGCAAATATGCACATATTTATAAAGATACTGGGGACAGAAAACCTCTTAGTAATGAGTTGAAATGTTTTTTGGAAGGATCTTGTTTTATAATCTTGAGGTGTAAAAGAGATGCTGCTGAAGTTGAGGAGCCTTACCCATTTTTATATCTATGAAGTATAAAATATTAATTACTGGCTAATATATGCCACCTGTTAGTTTGACGCTGATGTTTAGGGCATAACTTGATGTGCTGTTGTGGGGTTCCCATCTTTAAATAATTGCAGGCTCTGGCACTGGTTTTGAAAGGTAAATCTCTAATTAACCAAATTAATGCTGATAGTAGTTGTGTTTATAGTAATTCATATGATTAGATAATCAACGCATTAATTCAGTGAAGAAACTGATCTTAATATAATATTAATACGGGTTGTTCCTTCAAGTGTGTTTTGATAAGCCAAGAAATTAAAATGTGGTAGGGCATGAAATATTCTGAAATTGTGCATTTTGGAAATATAAGAAATGGCTGAATAGGGCAGATATGCATTTTGGGAGGTGAATTTCAGAATTACTTTGGTCTTGACAGAGTGGGGTGTGTTTTTCTTATATGGGGGTGTCAGAAAAATTGTTGTGAAAGCTGAGAATTTATTAGGAAATGTTTTTTTTTTCTAGTGTGTAGTGTCTTTTAACTGTCTGTTGAGCACAACTTAAGAGCTTTTAAGCTGAACCTTAATATGAAAAAAAAACACCCAACAACCTTTTAGTTGGTTGCAGGATTTACAGGATAGTCTTGGATTCTGTTCAGTGCACTTTAATTAACTGTACAAGGTAGTAAATTAAAGTACCTCAGACTGACTTGACAGTCAATTAAACCTTGGTTGATTTCATTGAGAATGTGATCATTAGTGTAATTGGCCAAAATGACAGGAGGCCCACTTGGAATTGTGCCCACTTGAAATTTTCCTTTAATTCTGTGTATGCAGTCCTGGGCAAGATAATGGAGCTGTATCCTAATAATTTCCAAGGATTTTGTGTAGCTGTCTGGAAAGGTAAACTCTAGCAGACAAAAATGAAGGAATGGGTTACTTGGGAATCCGGATGTCAAAACCTTTTGGAGTTTGTTTTGCGTGAAGTACATTGAATCTCTTCTCTCATTCTGGAATTTGTACAGAGTTTTGCAAAGTTCACCATGTGATTTCAATCAAAAGGATGTGTATATGTGTGAGGGAGATTTTTTGCTTTGTTAAATAGATGTAGAAACTGTGTTGAGGCCATCTTTTGTTAATGGTATCTGGATACTTAAGAGATTTAGGCTTTTCCTCCTGTTTAATACTGCTTATCTAACTTGGTCTATCTACCTCTTATTAAAATAACAGCAGTCCTTTCCATTTTGTTTTTTCATTTTTTAATCTTGCTTTGCCTGAGAACTTCTAGTCTTTAGTTTGCTGGGTTGCAGTGTAGATGTGTTTTTTCACTGGATTTATTTGGGGGTTCTGCACTTTCTGTGGAGTGGTGATCCTATGGTACCCTGTGATACTGGGTTGTCAGGTTGTGGAAATGCTTGCCTCCTTCTGTGGAAAATGATGCATGTGAGTGCTACTCTGATGGAAATAAGTTCTAAAAAAATTGTTCCTTCAATTACTTCAATTTACAAAAACAATTAGGTTTTCTGGTCAAAGATATTCAAAGACAGCATCTTCTGATCCAAAAAATTAATTGTTAATACTATAGTTTCTTCTCTGTTCTCCTTTCATAGACAGTTCTTTCTTTATCTCCTTGAAAAGTAACCAAAACTAACCAAAAGTAGCTTGTCCTTTTCAGATCAAAAGGAATTATTTAAGTGGGCTGTGGAAACTCCCAGGCGTCTTGTCTGTAGCTGAGGAGGTTCTCTGGGCTATTTTTCTCCATTGAGGACATGTAACAGGCTTTGTCTTCCTGTGGTGCTTCTGTGCCTTTTCCAGACCCTTAAGGCTCTCGAGTCAAGAATACGAGATCAGAAACTGGATCCTGATCTCCTGTGTGCCAGTTTACCACTATCGTCTGAAAAGTGCAGTAAGATCAGGCAGGTGTGAGTCTGCATACAAAATTCTGTAGGTAAACCATGATGTGGGATTTGATAGAGATTAAATTTTCATAATCATGCCTTGGTAAGAGTCCCTTATACCCACAGACATCCATTTAGAGAGGTGTTAAGATGTCTGAAATAAACACCTTTCTTTTTTGGAGCAGACAACCTCAAATTAATTCCAGACAGTTCAACAGAGCTTATTTCTGAAAGCAGGGGAGGACTACGTGTTTGCCTGATGTGTTGGCACAGAGCATCTCTAAAAGATACACTGCATGCAAAACATGGGTATAGCAGCACTGCTGTGTTTTCAGGGGACAGCTGGTGTGCCTCTGTTTTCAAGATGCTTTTCAAATGCAGTGTATTGTTTAGGTTCTGTACATCTTTGTAAATAGAAGTGTAATTGTCTGGTCTGTGGTTATTTTGCCCACCTTTCTAAAAAATTATTTTGTTTTTTTTTCCCCTCCCTCTAGCTTTTCATTTGCCTTGGGGAAAAAAAAAGTATCCTCTTTGTGACTGTTCACTTTGTTCAGACTTTGTAGGTGCTCACCAAATTGCTGTAAATGAACAGTGGAGTTTTGAATAGATTAATAACCTCCCAAGTCTAAGGTTTAAAGGAAAAAATAATTAGGCCACCTGTCAAGTTTGCCAGTCCAAGCTGAATTTGATGGACTCCAGAGTCATCCTGATTACTTCATCATCCTCTTAAAAAGAGAAAAAATTGTTGGTCCCCCTCCCCTTTTCCCCCCTTTTTTCCTACTTGGCAAATGTAGCTTATTTCCTGTGTTTTCAGGTGAACTGAAATTAATATAGCTTTAAAAAATATCTTTGTGGGGAAAATTTGTCTGGCAGATTGTTATAAGAATACTTTGTTTTTGTAGCAGAATTATTGGCATTTTTAAAAATTTAGGGGCTCAGCGTTCAGTGGATATAACCTTGTGTTCCTACAGGTAAGGAATTTGTCTTGGACCACTCATAAATGGAAACTTTAAAAGCAAGGTTTTGATGCTTCAAGAGAATAGCTTTCCTTATGTCAATTGAAAATTGATCTATATTTTTTTATAGTTGGAGATCCCTTGTTCACTCCCAGAAGTGAAATCAGCTCTCGCTGTAGCCATAGATTGGTCAGCAACTGGAACTGGAGTAGAATAAAATGTTACATTTTTTGTTTCCTCCTGCTCAGTTTCTTGCTGTAGCAACCAGAATTCAAGTAAAAAAATAAAGGGCTGGGGGGAAGGGAATGAAAGCTGTTTGTTAAATTTTGAGTTTGAAGCCTATTTGTCTCAGAATAGCCAGAGCATAGGGTATTTCCATGAATCTAAAGGAAAAGTTTGTTAGGTTGCTGTCTTTATTGTTGATGTTGTGTGGTGGTTTGTTTTATTTCTTTGGTTTTTGTACCTCTGCTTGGATATCTTCATTCTTTTCTTACTCTCTTAAACTGATGTAAGCTTTGTTGGAGTCCTGTCAGACTTACTAGATATCTTCACAATAATGGTCATCTCAATTTCTTGTATTTTAGGATCCAACAAGAGTAGAGAAGACAGCAAATTACCTAAGATGTGAGAAGTTCTCCTGTAGTGAAATAAAATCTTGTTTTCAAAATGGACCGAAGTAAGCGGAACTCAATAGCAGGATTTCCACCACGCCTGGAGCGCCCTGAAGACTTTGATGGTGGCACTGGAGAAGGGACTGCATCCCAGATAGGAAGAGTTTGTACCTCTTCATACAGAGCCCTGATAAGTGCCTTTTCCAGACTTACTCGTCTTGATGACTTCACATGTGAGAAAATTGGCTCTGGTTTCTTCTCAGAGGTGTTCAAGGTGTGTGTTTAGTTCTTTCCTCTCAATGTTGATTGCTTCTTGTTTGATGATGAGAATGTACAAGACTGTCAGCCAATTATAGTCCTTATATTTGCTTTACTCAAAAGGAGTGAGGGATGAAGAACTCTCAGGCTCCAAATATTTCTTCTATCACTCCTCCAGAGGAGTTTCAGAGTTTTTTGAGAGAAAGAGAAAAAACTAAAAGTAACTGATTTATTTTTGCATTCATGTGTTGTTAAACACTGATGGGTCTTGGTTCTTCCATATGTAAGTGTAAATGTCTTTAATTCAGTTGGTTTATTGTTTTTGTGGGATGGTACATGTTCCTTTGCTAGTCTTTGCCTCACAACACTTAGATGCATGTCTTAAGGAGTTCCATACATGGCTGCTGAATTTGAAACCACTGATTTTATTGCACTGAAATTACAGTACAATTAACTGCTCTTCTCTGTTTCTTTTGCTGCTTATGCCACGCTTCTAACTCAAATAATCAGAGATTGGTTTGAAGTAAATAATATGAATAAGAAAATCTATGAGTTGTCAGTGACTTGCTGCTATGAATGTGGGACATGGAAAAGACCTTTTTAAAGCAACTTGTCAAACACAGTTTTATAGTGCTGGTTTCTACTGCTCTGACTGTTCTGGTGAGGTTTACTGTAGAAGTCCAGGACACTGACTTATCTTTCAGGCATTGAAAAAATAATTTATTTCCTTGTTCTAGTTCCTGACTTTACTTGAAGTTATCCTCTATGTTCCCCTCAATGAAATGCCAGAAAACTATCTTACAATGTATAATGTCCATTCCATGGCAATTCATGTGTTTTTTATCTTGAAGTTATTGCAGTAAATAGATACCTGCATTAGAAAATGGAAATTTTTATATTGCTTTAATACCCAAAGGCATTGAGGTCCCCATGCATATATCTCCTCTTGTATAAAGGCAAGTCACTCCACAAAAGTTTTTCTGTTTAGTTAGATATATAAAATTTTAGTTTTCACTAACACAAGTTTTTAATTCTTTCAGATGGGTAGACATGAAGAACTTTATTTTGGGGTATTTAGGAGACTTAGTGCAGGACATTTCTTTATAAAGCCAGCTTTTGTAATAGTTGAAAACAAGGGTTCATTTGGTGTGTTTTGTTCGGTTGGTTTTTGTCTTACTTTGTTTGGAAAACTTTCTGTAAGGCATTTTGTAGCAACTGGTTTTGTGTAGAGACAGTTTCTAATGTTAAATGTTTTAAACTTCTGTATGTTACTGGAATCCATCTTTACGACTTCTGTGGTGAAGCTGCTGTGCCATGTATAAAGGTACCAATAGATTTGGGTTGTATCTAAATAACTAGGAAATAACAGACCTCTGTTTACTTGAGAATTTCCAAATTAAGGTGGAGGGAGAAAGGTAGCTAAAAGTAAAGATGAATTTCCCCCATTCATAGTAATTGATTAATTTGAGAATTTGTTGATTGAGAGAAGTCCCTGATACCTAGTTTATTTTTATGTGCATAAACAAGTCCTCTAATTCTTTAAAAACCTTCCCCAGCTATTCTCCTTTGCAGCGAGCTAGACTAGACATCCCAAGGTGTTGGATAGAGTTGGTGGCATTACTGTGGGAGTGATCGTGGTAGTCTGAGTATCTGGTGTCTGTTTTCACAGAAACAACCACAATCCCCCTGCAGGCAGACACTGAGTAATAAATGCTTTTCTTTTGCATCAGTTTCGACCAGAAAACAGCTCTGCAGTTCTGGCGTGAAGGGGTGAGAATGCATTACAACTTTTATCGTAGATGCAGTTCCAAACTCATTTAAGCAGGTTTCTGTTCTGCTGCTTTATCAGCCTGACCACCTCTGTCATTAATCCTACTGTGCTGATGATCAGATTTCATGTGAGAACCTTGATGTGCTTTCCAGTAAGGAGAGCCTTGTGGCTTGACACAGTTAAATTTCAGTCTGATCTGCAGGCTCACAGCTAAATGATTGAAGTTGAGAAAAATCCAGGTTAGTTCTAAACTTACTGTGTAAGTAATTTTATAAGAGCAATGAAGCCTTCCCTTTAAATCATCAAAGGTGTCTCAGAACCCACCATATCTCCAGAGCTTTTTCAATAATGTATTTATCTATTATTTTGTATCATACATTGGGTTCACTCAAGTGATTTAGCAAAGAATACTTGGGCTGTTTTAAGGGTTTGGGATTTTTGTTTTGCTATGTAGCTGACAATTTTTTTCAGTTATTTTTTGCCTTCCATCATTTTCCGTGGAAACTTATTTTAAAATACAGTCTATTGTGGTGGATGGAAGTTGCCTTCTCAACTTGTGAGTAAGTTAGAACTCACATGTGTATGTTAATGGTCATCTATGCAATGAATGATGTTTTAACATTTCTAGTGCACCTTTATTCATAAACATTTCAAAATCTGTGGTTCATAAACATTTCAAAATCTGTGGTTCATTCAGAACAAAGTATCAAACTAGTGTTTTGATTTTGTTAGCCATCACTATAAAACTTCAAATTCATGTTCACCTGAATACTAGATGTTATAGAAACGAGTTTAAAAAACCTAAACTTTGTCAAAATATCAGCAATCTAGTTTGAGGCAGCTGACGGACTAGTGCCTGTTCTAAATTTCAATGGCAAGTGCAGCACCCTGAGGTTTGATTTTAAGATCGAGCTGGGCACAGACTATTTGTATAAATTAACAGCCACGATTGCAAACCCTTAAGCTGCTAATTGGGAAAACCAGCTGATGAAGCTGTAAGGAATTGTGGGGGAATCCAAGCATTATACTGAAATGAGGTATTATATTAGCAAATAGTTACTATTAGTTATAAAATATGTGTTTTGAAACAGCAGTCAGACTGAAATCCAGGATGATCTTCTATTCACATTTACCAGGTTCAAGGCCAGTGCTAAGTATTCAATTTGCTGTGAATTTCCTTCAGGTGTTCTTTTTTCTCTGCATTCTGTAGCTGAACTTTTGAGAGAGACTGGAAATACTTGTGACATTTCCATGTTAAAAATGGACTTTTTGCAATTTATTACTTGTGTGTACATGAAAACAGGAGCCATTGATCCAATATAGAATTGAACAAGGCCAGGTATGAATACAAAGAGAGGGCATCATACTTTTGGATGTGTTAACAAGATCGGTGGTGGGTGCAAAAGCATTAATGTCCTCAGGGTATTTGTGCTGTGTGTGCTTATACTGTGAGGTCTCCTATTTTAATACCCTGGTGTGATGGTTCTCAATTCATTAATTAATTGTTAGTCTTTATTTGTGTGGTCAAATTAATGTTCCTTGACTTTCGAAAGTGCTGACTGATCAGAAAAGGTGTGCCTGTCCAAATACGTACCTTGTACCTGAGGTTAGGATCCTGTTTCTAGTATTTATTTAATGTCTTCAGGGTGTTTAAAGATGAGCATCATCCAACTGTTTAATGTGAAAGGAGAAACAAGGCTGGAGTTGTGCTCAGAGGTATTGTTAAGAACACATATATAATTCTTTTTATCAAGTACTTGTAATGCACTTAGGATAAAACTGACAGTTTTACCTCTAAACAAACATACAAATCATAATTGATACTAAATAGTGTATCATTTGTGATGTTATGTCTCATGGGCACATTGTCATGGTGGTGGGCTTGATCTCTGGAACATCTTGTTCTAGGCTGTGGGAGGTTTAAGGGACATTACTGATCTGGTTTTCCCAAAGTGACTCAATTGGAAGTTTGGGGTTTTTTTGTACTTTATGACTTCATTGCCATTCAAATTAACATTTCTCTCTGTAATTTTGCACACCTTGAGGAATCTAGTGCAGAAATGTTTAATGTCACTTTTTTCTGTTGCATCTGATCTAGGTTTGACAGGACTTGCTAACTAGAATAACAGTGCAGAGTAGGAACAGAACAGTAGAGTAAGTGAGGGATTAATTTATAAGATTTCAGACCCAAAAGTAATGAGGGGTGTCTTGACCAAAATAAGAGAATACTTGGATCATGCTGTACTTTGCCTATTATGTCTCACAGTTGGTCTCTGTCTAAAAGTAAAGGCATTATGGGCTTCCCAAACAGTTAAGGCTTGGAAGAGTTACTGGGTCATCTACGCACACTGCCACTTTACCTAAGGTCTTTGAATTTTACCAGTAGCTGGAACTTTGTCTGGAGCATATATTGACACCACATACAGCACAAGTATACCTCCCTTGTTGGTTTTTAAATTCAGCTCCAAATTGAAGATGTCAAAGGCAATACCATTCCCTAGTTTTCTAAACAGTAGCATGTAAAACCCATCCTTCAGCTTTGTGTCACCCTCTTGTAAAGCACATCACTTGTTGCTATCATGGAACATTAGTACCTTATGTTTAATGGGTGCGGACCTCCTGCTCTGTAGCCTTCAATCATTGTTTGCAATGAAGGTTTTCATTTGGGTATGTTGATTTTTGCTCAGATAGTTTTAAGGTATGAAATCGCCTTCACTTCTTAGTGAAATAACATGAACAGGGTAATGGTCCAAACTTAAAAGTTTTGGGTTGTTCTGAGTAGCAGCTTCCATCAGGAGGAAGGCAATGCAGAACACTGAGTTAGAGGACACCTCGCTTGGTTCCTCAGGAAACTCCCTGAGGAGATTCCTGTGTCTTGCCCTGCTTTGGCATGTCCAAGTGTATCTTCAGCTGTCCCTGGCCAGTCTGTGACCTGGTTGTAGTCAGTTGTGGCAGTCAGGTGCCTTACAGGAGTCTATATATATATTGCTATTGCAAAACATGTATACATTTTTCTTAATCAGTTTTATTACCTAAATTGAAAATTATTGTAAATCTAGGCAGGGATGTTATGTTATTACATCCTTAGTTAAGGCAGGCATAAGTATTTCTGTTCCATTCTTGGCAGCTACTTTTGGCTTGTCCTTTAAACTTCCATGACAAAAGATTCTACAGCCTCCTTTGGTGTGTCCGGGCTATAATTTATTATTTTTAAATTATCCTTTTATAGATAGAACCTCCCAGTT